AGTCTGCCCTGACACCATCGTAAAGCTGAATTTTGCAACTTTTAATAATAATAATCTGAATGGTCTTCTAGTTCTGAGCCCACGTGGCGACTAGTATTACAGTAGTTACCGTAGTATTTACTGCATTCTATTTTAATGCTATGTTGCGCTGAGGATCGAGTTCGAGTTCTTCAAACAGTTATATCATTTACAGAGTTTACCACAAAGTGCTGAGTAACTGAGCAACTAGTTGTGTACAAGTAGTTCTTACGTCCCGGCAAATTGAGGAAATCCTACTCAGTATTCTACTTGTTGGATGTCTTGTAGTAGTAGTTTTTGTAAATATTGTAAGACTTTGTGGATTTTATTTAAATGACATCACCAAAAAATTCCTTTATAAATAAATGTGTCATTTTGACACATGAGCACGACTAAGGAATGTCAGCTACTGTATGTTCTGATTCACATAATTACAACATGCCCTTTTTATTCAGCTTTTTCTTTTAGGCTCGTAAAAACAGGGCAGTTGTCCGCATACGCTGTAAAACTGTAACCCAAAAATAAATCTGTAAAAACAGAAAATACGATATACAGTGATACTGTCAGCTGGAGCACAGCTATGAATTGTGCATTTTGAGTTTTCAGCACTAAAACTTTTGTTGAAATTGTATGATTCTGTATGATTCAGGACAAATAGTTAAAAAAAATTAGATTTTTTTTTCTTATCTTCCAGCTTCGACCTCCTTGCGCCCCCTAGTTTGACGAACATTGATCTAAAGCAGGGGTCCCCAACGCCCAGTTTCGGGACCGGTGCTGGTCCGTAGGTCATTTTGTCCCCAACGCCCAGTTTCGGGAACGTTGCTGGTCCGTAGGTCATTTGGTAAAACAATAGGTTAGACTTCGATAGTAACAGAATAAAGTTTAAAAGATGTTTTATTTTGAAAATTACTGGTCCGCAGTAACGACCGATACCAGGTGACCGGTCCTTGGTAAAAAGGGAAAAAAGGTTGGGGGCCGCTGAAGTATGAAAGAAAAAAAAAGTTCTATCTAGATGAGTAATAATATGTGTGTTACAAATCCCTTTTTTAATTATCTTACTCTTCGTTGCACATTAAGTCACATTAAGTGTTACATTTTTAGTCAAGAATGTAGTATAAAACTTTTTTTACACCAACATTGTTCTTCCCCGTTTCATTGTGTTTGAACTTTTACTTTTTCATCCGTGTGGGTTCAGTTTACCACATCAGTGTCGCCTGTGTGCATCTGTAATTGTGGTGAGCAGATGATGATAGGAGGTCGAGGAGCCCGAGGGAGGGAGAGACTCTAACTCACACATTAGCAGGTTTCTGAACCTGCTGGTAAATTACAAGCGTGGCAGTTCAAAATAAACCACAGTGGTTTCTTTTTTAGTGTGTGTGTGTACAAAGAAGATTGTCATGCATTGGCTGTTATCTATAATTTAAAAAAAATGTGACAATTACGTTACAAATGCATGGCTATTGGAATCAACACATTTTACTTTTCAATATTTAACAAAGACAAAAAAAAAGTTTAAAGGTTTATTCCGACTCGATTTTCTAAATATATCCTTAAAGTGTCTTGTAAGTATACAATTTGTAATTAAAGGAAAGTTGTGTGTGAAAATGTTTAATGTTCTTTAAAAAAAAAACATTAACGTATGGTTCCTTTAAAGCAGTGGTTCTGAATTATTTCCTGTCATGCCCCCCCTTGAGGACAGAAATGTTTTCACCCCGCACCTCCTCCAACCCACACCCCGCGAATTAAAATACTATTGAAAACTTGATCTGTACAAACCACTGTATGAGTTGCTGCCACTTAGTGACTGGAGGCTTGTTATCATTCAAGCAGTGGTACACGCGTACCATATTCCATTGGAATTCTTTTTTTTTTTTTAAAGCGGTGAAGAATTGGAGGTATGTCATTCCAGTTGGGTGCGTGGCCAAAAAAAAAGTTTGGTAACCGTTAACTTCTACTTCACTAAACAATTGTATTCTCTGCAAGTTAACTTCAGTCTCGCACTGTACCCTTAATGATGAAGGGTGGACTCAAGAAAGCATAAGAGAACAAGTGGAGCGTACCACTGGATTAAATGTCACAGCCAACACCTAATGATTCACTCTCTAGCACATTAGCGCCACAGAGTAATATCAGGCCGTCACACACATCACTGCATCCCATTAACATGAGGAACAGAGCGCAGGTTTGACAGGATGCATAGTCTGTGAGCCGTCTTGGTAATCATGGGGACATCGCAGAAACAAGAGGACGGCCAGAGCTATTGTCATAAATGTTAAATAAATTCAATTACTCAGTGCTCAGATACATGATTGGATCACTTGTGGCACCATAAGTGAATGACAGTTAGCTCGCAAAAAATGTGTGAAAAGCAACGTGGGACTGCCAAATGTCGAGGTCCTACTGCAGTTTTGTTTGACAGAAAACAGATGAAGAAGTAGCTTGTTTTTAAATGACTTCTATGAGCAAAACTTTTCATGAACACATTTTCTCTTTCAATTATAATAATAATACAACTTCAAAAAGGAACACTGACGTACTGCTTGTCCGTGCTCCGGTGTTTTAGTGAGCTAGATCTCATCCTTTTAGTATACAAACACATAATTCAAAAAAGGACTCAAAGACTCCTTTGAGCTATTAAACGGTTCAACTCCTCACTGGGGGAGAGGAAGGTGAAATAATGAGTGGTGGGGAAGGAATATATATCCATCTATCCATACATCTGTCCATCCATCCATCCATCCGTCTATCCATCCATCTATCCATCCATTTATCTATCTATCTATCTATCTATCTATCTATCTATCTATCTATCTATCTATCTATCTATCTATCTATCTATCTATCTACAGTATCTATCCATCCATCCATCCATCCATCTATCCATCCGTCCATCCGTCTATCTATCTATCGATCCATCCATCCATCCATCCATCCATCCATCCATCCATCCATCTATCTATCTATCTATCTATCTATCTCTTACGTTAAGCACAAAATAAAGCAAATCATGAAGTCTTACGATAAGCACAAAATAAAGCAAATCATGAAGTGAAAGTTAAAGGTAAATTGCATTTCATCTATATGTAGTTACATATAGCATGTCCTACGTCATAAAATTAACTTTAACTGTCCTGTGCGCGCTCGCTTTCCAAACACATTAGCCACACAAACGGACACACATGGATACCACCTGTGCATCCCCCCCGTTCTCTCCCCCGTACCACCAGCCTCCAGTTGGTGTAGAACACTTCCATGTTCTTGGGGGGGAAAGTCCCTTATTATGATAACAGGAAGAGTACTAAATTACTGAGTAGTGTGGCTGCAAGTGGAACTGGTAGAGTAATCAAAGGACTTCGGAGAACACTCAAAATAGCATCACACACTTGCAGTTGTGGGCGTGCTCACGGGCCCCCAGATGTGAGCATGTGCTCTTTCATTAAGCAACTTGTCCTTTTTAAGTGACTACAGCGGGACGTCCCAAATACTGCATGAGACTCCTTCAAAGGTGTCACTTTCAGTACTTACCTAGCAGAGGGTGTGGGGTGAGGGAGGGAGGTACATTGACGTATATTTAGGCTGGTTATCCTCCTGGTGTCTGAGGCCTGAGGGACTGTGTGTTTTGCTTCCACCGTCAGGAACGGATTAGCGGTTTTTATGCGGTGTCGAGTCAATGACCCGCGTTTTGTTTTTATCACCTATAAAGCTACCCAGACTACAGAAACATCTGTCCAGAAACACGGCGTGTTTTACAATATGGGTCAGAAAGGATATGATGTTTTCATAGAGTGGTTTTTGATTGTTTCATGATTCTGAGCGAATTCAGACAGATGGTGCACGGCCGAGGCAAGACCTGTTGTGACTTGTTAGCATTTTCTTTTTACATATTTATATATATATTTTAAT